AAATAATTTAATTCAGAAATTCCAAAAAAATTGTTTCTTGAGAAAATATAATTAAAATTTTTTTAAAATAATGGTATTTACGAAAATAATTTTAAAAAATTGAAACAATTGAAAATTTCGTGCAAATTTCATCAAAATTATATTTTAATAAATTTTATTTGTTTACTTTTAAAAACTATTTTGAAATATAATCGTATTTTTGAAGAATTCTAATTGAAAATTGGAAAATTGGAAAATTGGAATTGGAAAATGATAGAATTTTAAAAAAATGTAGAAGAAACTTATTACCAGGATAGTTTTATTTATTATTTATTTTATTATTATTATTTATTATTATCTTGGCGATTTTTGTACGAGTTGTTCAAATAATTAAATTTAAAGAAAAACTCTTTGAAAAATTATATTTTTTAAGAAATGAATATTTTTCATTAAATTTCAAAAAGCAAATTTTTTAAAGTAAAATTTTTTCAATTAATATTAATAAATAATTAAGTATTGTGTTTAGTGTGAGTAGTAGCATTTAGTTTAAGTAGTAAAAGACTTCAATAGTAAGTCTTCGTTTAATTGTTGCAAATACGATTTAAGTGGTAAAAAGCAATTTGAATCCGAAACAATTATTAAAATTGTTGCAATTTTCTTCAAACAGTTCACATTCTTTTAACGACGAGAATTTTCTCTCCGCCTGAGAAAAAGTAGTTGAATGCATTCACAGTCAGACAGGGAAAAAATTCTTCGAATTACAGAATCAGCAAAAAAAAGACTGTCAGTAGTAAAGTGCATTGTAAGTTAGACAGAAAAAATGCTCGCAATTAGAGAAGAAGTAGTAAAAGTCTATTTTAATCAGACGCATTTTTCAAATTTTGTAACAATTTCCATGTTTAAGTAGTGAAATAAAAGTTTAGTCAGACAATTCTAATCGCTGGTATTCTTGAACTGATTCATAATTTTAGTGTCAGTAGTATTAAGTGCTTTTAGTCCACCAGAGAAAAAATATTTTTTGAATTACTGAATAAGTAGTAAAAGACTATTTTAGTCAGACAGTCTAATCGTATTCTTTGTCTAAGTATAAAAAAAATATTTTTTATCAACTTTTTGCCTAGAAATACTTATAAATATGCAGAATAAGTAGTAAAACACTATTATAGTCAGACACATTATTAAAAATAGTCCAACTTCACTATAAGTAGTAAAGCACAGTATAAGTCAGGCGAAATATAAAAATTGTCTTTCGGATGCAAAAACTATCTTATAATTACAGAATAAGTAGTAAAGGACTATTTTAGTTAGACATATTATTCAAATTCATAGAATTTTCATTTTTTAAGTAGTAAAACACAAATTTAGTCAGACAGCTTTTTGTTTTAATTTTTTAGTTTAAGTAGTAAAACACAAGTCTAGTCAGACAATTTACACTCTTGTAATTTTACTAAAAGTAGTAAAGGAAATTCTTTGTCAGACATGCATTATGATTCTTTATTGAAGTACAAGTAGAGAAAGGCTATTTTAGTCAGACATAATTACTTTTTTTTAGAATGTATTTGAACAAAAACTTTGTATAAGAACGTTGAAGAGAGGAAAAAAAGTTTCATGCCTCAACGAATATTACCGTTTCTACTGAAAAACTTAGTCCGACTATTCGCAGATGTTTTCCACTCAGAAAATTACTTTTCAGTCATCATAAACTCTTGACTCGTCATAAACATTTTTGAAATTAAAAAGAAAAAGAGAAACTTTATTTTGAAAAAAAAATATTTTTCTCTGAAAATTAATGAATAATTTATGGAAAAAACAATTTCTTTCTTCTTATTATTCTATTAAAAAACGGAAAAGAGTAATTTATCTTCTTTTGCGTTTTACACTTTTTCGTGTGAAAAAAAATTATTCAAGAAATTTTTTTTTTTTTTATATTTTATAGAATTTTGCTTGTAAAATAAGTTTTCCTGGTGGGAATCTGTCGATTACTTTCTTTCAGTTGTACTCAATCATTCAAACGAGGCGCACTAACGAATCTCTGAATCAAAAAGTCCCTTCGAACAGTGTCGTGAAACTTTTATCCCAGACAATGGAGTTTCTGATTAAAAAAAAGAGTCATTTCAGTATTTCAATAAAATTAAAATACCCAATGTCATTACATATCACTGACATTTCATTCAAATAAAAAATTACTTTTTCCCATTTTTTGGAAACATTCTTTTTAAATAAAAAATAAGGTAAATAATGTTGATTAAAAATTTGCAAAAGAAAAAATTTTTTGTTATCAATTCTATACATATTTTGGATCAACTATCAACATTGAATAAATGAAACGATATTTGATTTTGGGAGGATAACGAATCTGAATGTAATTGAATAACCATCTACATTTTTTTATTTTGCAATTTTCCTTTTCAATTAAAAAAAAGGGGAAAAAAAATTTTCATATCCAGGATGTGAATCTCATTTTCTTCTTGTTCTGCGAATTCAGCAATTTTTTTGAAAGCTTCCTTTTGTTTCACTGATGTTCTTTATAATTAAATTTTCAAAAAGACGAAATCATTCCCCCTTTTTGCTAAATTAAAAAGGTTTACCTTAATAAAATTAAAATAAAACTGAATATAAATGAAAAAAGAAAAATGCTTCTTTAATTAAAATTAATGTTTTAATTTTAAATCATGAAAGGAAATATTTTTCCTAAAAATTAACTGAAGTAAACATTATAATTAATTTTCTTAATTAAGTAATGTAAAAATAAATGAAAAAATATGAAATACAAAATGGAAAAATACAAAAATACAAAAATGTATTTTTGTAAAATACAGAAATATGAAATACAAAACAAAAATACGAAATATAAAAAAATATGATTCTCATGAAGGAAAAAAGAAAAATTTACATAGGAGAATAATTTTTAATAACAAATTTTAAATTAGACCTTAAATTAAATTTTCTTTCTTTTTAATTTTCAAATGCGCAAAAGGAATACTATATTTTTGGCATAAATTAAATCTGTTAATTTTGTCCTTTCGCGTAGTGGAAATATGCATCTAATTAGCAGAGATGAGCTTCAGTTCCTTTGTGTTTACTATGCATGGAATAAAATTCTTCTATTAAGACAAATCCTCGTAAAATCCCTCGTGTATATATACTCTAGACTCTTGTATTTTGTTTAGATGAAAACAAATGAAAATTGAATTTGCAAACTTTTCCCACTTTTCCCAAATCCTAAACAACATGAAATCCCCTTTTCGTTGAAAAAAACTCCAAAACAAATTCTAAACATCGTTAAGTTAAAATTTACATCAACTACAATAAAAAGCCTCAAAAAAAAATTTTTTAGTATTTAATAAATTATTTAAATAAATTTAATATTTAATTAAAATTTAATAAATGAGACAATTATCAAATTTTCCATGAAAACTATTTTTTGATATTTTAAACTACACAAGTTTTTTAATTTCACTCATTTAGTTAAATTAAAAAATTAAAGAATAATAAAACATTCATGATATATTCACAAAAAGAGGAAAATTAAATTAATTAAAAATAAATGGTGAAATTTAAATTAAATCAGAACATTTTCCCCGATGAATTACATTGCCTTTTGTTAAAAATTTCTCAATTGAATAATCTTCTGACTAAATTAATATATATAATGAAATAAATGTAATTATTTTCTCTTTGATTGTAAATAAACGCAAACACAATTAGACTAATTTGAATTATTTATTTTCATTATTACTAATTAATTACAGAACAATTTGGTTAGAGACGTTATATATATTTTATAAAGGAAACCATTTACCTTTTATAATAAATGATCCAATTACGACAATAATTCACTCCACTAATTATAATATTTATTATTCATCGAAATTTAATAAAATTCGTTCAACTTGTACCTACCTAAAATCCATTTATTTATTTACAACAGAGAAAATGGACAATTATAAAATTTCAAGAAGCATAGTTTGGGAGAAAATAAAATTACAATTAAAAATTAAAATTAAAATTAAAATTAAAAATAAAAATTGAAATTAAAATTGAAATTAAAATAAAAATAAAAATTGAAATAACTTCTGATAAAAACAGTAATTTGATGTTTGCTTGATTTATGCAAAGTTCAATTTTAGAAAAAAAAATGAGATTAAAAATGGAATTTTTTTTTTCTGAATTATAAATCATCTTCTGGCAATTTTTGTTTCATTTGAAATGTATTCTGGGTACAGTGGCTGGCCTATAAAATGGATATATCCTCGTTCGTTTCTCCCCAAGGGAAATTCAATGGAATTAGAGAGAAAACGATTGCATTTTCTATTGACAAAAAACATTCGGCGAGAAAGACCATTAGCCAGAAACCAATCGTGTTTTGAAATTTTACGTAATAATTTTCCTCGTTGCCTTTCAATAGAAGCTGCTTTGTTCTTTTTTTTTTTGTTTCTATATTTTTCAAATGACTATTCAATTCACCAATTTTTTTTTTATGTATCCTAATAAAATATCCTTTGAATTTCACTCTCAGTAAATTTTTTATAATATATAATTTCTCAATTTTCTTTAATTTAATTTAATTTTTTTTTTTAAATTCTTTTCTTAATTTACTTTTGTTTCTAGTTAATTAACATTTTATAATTAAGTAAAAATCGAGTTAAATTTTCTCTTGATAATTAACAACTAAAATTCCAGTTAAATTATCTTTTGATAATTAACTAAAAATACAGATTAAATTATCTTTTGAGGAAATAGAACGAGGAAAAATAAAAATAAAGGTGAAAGGATAAAAAATCTAATAGGGGAAAATTAATATTGACAAATTTTTGGAAAAATCTCTAATTTTGATATTTTGATTTTCTGTAAATTAAATTAAAGCTAAATTAATTAATTTTTTTTATTTTAAATACTCGTGTTTTGATTTTCATTGAAAAAATTGATTGAATTTTAAAAATAGAAAAATTCATTGTAGCAAAAATGAAAAAAAAGTGTTTTCGAAAAAAAAATTAAAATTTGTTTTTTTTTCTGTTTAGCATCGAGACACGCAAGAGACTTTGACAGTATTGGACAGGTTAGACCTCGATACAGAAAAACCGAGTGACGAAGAACTGGCAAGGAAGTTTGGATTCGAGGAGGCCTACTATGAAGGTACTCTAACGTGGTGGCAAAAGCTCAAACCAAAAATGTGGTCTCTTTTTGATGAACCTTACTCCTCAAATGCTGCCAAGGTCGGTAAAGTTTTTAACCTTATTTTCAAATTTACAATTTTTTTCATTTACTCTTTTTTTAGATTTTTTAACGTTACTTTTTTACTTTTCCTTTACTTTACACTGTTTTCTATATTTACACTTTTTTACAATATTTTTCTTCTTTAACTTCGATTTAATTTATATAAATTAAATTAACTCTTGTAAACAAATGAAAAAACTAAAATATTAAAAAACAAATATTACGTAAATACTATAAATTATATTTATGAAATTATACTTTATAACATAATTTTTATAAATTTTTTATAAGATTACAAGATTGGAAAATGTTTTACAAAAAATGTCGAAAATATTTATGAATTTAAAGTATTTTTTTAATTCTTTTTATTTATTTACAATCTTAGAAATATTACAAATAAAAAAAAGAATTAAAAAAATACTCGAAATTCGGAAGCATTTCCAATTTTTGATAATTAATTACACAACATATATTTTCCATTCGTCTCCTTAAATGTATATATACTTAAATAGAAAACAAACTAAATCAATTTCCTTTGACAATGATATAATCAGAAATAAAGAAAAAAAACACTAAAAGTGAAAGACAAAAATAAACAAAATATTTTTAGAAATAAAATATTATGTATAGAGAGAGAAAATAAATTATCAAGATTATAATTTGTAGGAATGAAGACAAAATATCTCTCCCATTTTGATGATAATGGACACAGATAGCATATATATACAGCAGGAGAAGGAATAACAATCAATAAACGTTTCCCTTAAAACGACGACTGTTCCCAAGACATTTGATTGTTTTTCCAACCTCCCTGCTCTGATAATAGTAAACCATCTTAAATATATATATCCCCATATGATCAGTTCTCAAGAGTCTCATTTCTTTCAGTGCGACTAGTAAATTTCGAAAAAATTTCACCTTAAAGGAAAAACGGATAATGAAATTATCCCCACGAAATAGATAAAAATTCCCTCCTGCCCTTGAATTTATTGCCTTCCTTTTCACCGTTGTCATAAAATGCAGTTGAAGATAATTTTTAAGAAACTGGTCCCCTATGGGCATAAACATACATTTAAGTTTGCATTTAAGTCAATTTTTTAGTATTATTTTCATATATTTTCGTAAATTTTTGTTCAAAAGGAAATTTTTTTTATTTTTTAGTATATTTTCAACTCGGACTTTCTTTATTAAACTTTTATTTATTTATTAATATTTTTCAAATCCTTTTTCACTTTCACTTCCACTTTAATTGATTTTCACTCCCCTTTCAGTTTTCACTTTCATTTTCACTTCCCTTTCAACTTTTACTGTCACTTCCACTTTCATTTACACTTTAATTTTCACTTTCCTTTCAAGTTTCAATTTCACTTTTGATTCCAAATTAATTAATTTTCACTCCCCTTTCTACTTTCATTTTTGATTTTACTTTAATTAATTTTCACTTCCATTTTGACTTTCACTTTCAGGGGTTCGTTCACATAACTATCATTTTCATTCAAAAATTTCTCGCTTTCACATTCACTGAAAATATTTTCACTTTTAATTTCACCCAAAAATTCTCACTATCATTCAAAAAAATTTCAGTTTCAGTTCTAAGTTCAAATTTTTTCAATCAAGAGTGAAAAAAATTTAGGTCAAAATGAACACTATTTTTAGTGATAGTTAGAATTTTTTGAGTAGAAACGAAAATATTTGAATCAAAGTGAAAGTGAAAATTTTTTACAGAATGTGAAATTTTTTTAAGAAAAAAGAAAATATTTTGATCGAAATTAAGAATTTTTTATGAAAAATGAATTTTTTTTGAGTAAAGTCAATAATATTTTAATAAAAGCGAAAATTTTTTGATTAAAATTGAGAATTTTTTTAAGAAAAATAATTTTTTTTAATAAAAGAGAAAATTTTTTTATCAAAATTGACAATTTTTCAGGGAAATTAAATTTTTATGATTGAAGCCAATAATATTTTAGTAGAAGTGAGAATTTTTTTAATGAAACTAAAAAATTGTTTGAGTTAAAATGAAAATATTTTACTGTAAGTAAAAGTGAAAATGCTTTAGGAAACGTGAAATTTTTTTAAGAAAAAAGAAAATATTTTGATTGAAATTAAGAATTTTTTAGGGAAAATGAATTGTTTTGAGTGAAGTCAATAACATTTTGATGAAAGTGAAAATTTTTTGGATGAAACTAAAAATTTTTTTGAGTAAAAATATAAATATTCAAGTCAAAATGAAAGTGAATATTTTGTAGGAAATATTGAATTGTTTTATTAAAACCAAAAATTATCTGATCAAAAGAAAAAATTTTGCAAGGAAATTACATTTTTTTTAGTGAAATCAATAATATTTTAGTGAAAGTGAGAATTTTTTTAAATGAAAGTAAAAATGAAAACTTTTTAGAGAATGTGAAATTTTTTTAATATAAGCGAAAATTTTTTGATCGAAATTGAGAATTTTTTTTAAGAAAAATAAATTATTTTAAATGAAGATAAGTATTTCTTTTTGTGAAAGTGAAAATTTTTTAGGGAAATTAAATTTTTATGATTGAAGTCAATAATACTTTAGTAGTAAGTGAGAATTTTTTTAATAGAACTAAAAATTTTTTTTGAGTTAAAATCAAAATATTTGACTCGAAGTGAAAGAGACAATTTTTTAGGGAATGTTAAATGTTTTTAATAAAAGCAAAAATTTTTTGATCAAAATTGAGAACTTTTTGTGAAATATAAATTTTTTTGAGTAAAATAAATAATTTCCTAGTGAAAGTGAAAATTTTTTGAATGAAAGTAAAAATTTTTTAAATAAAAATAAAAATATTTGTGAGTCAAATTAAAAATGAAAATTTTTTCTAGGACTCTGACATTTTTTTAATAAAAGAGAAAATTTTCTTATCAAAATTGAGAATTTTTCAGGGAAATTAAATTTTTATGAGAAAGACGCTTTATATTTTAGTGAAAGTGAGAATTTTTTGAATAAAACTAAATAATTTTTTTGAGTAAAAATAAAAATATTTGACTCAAAGTAAAAGTAAAAATTTTTTTAGGGAATGTGAAATTTTTTTAATAAAAGCGAAAATTTATTGATCAAAATTAAGAATTTTTTTTAGGGGAAATGACTTTTTTTTAGTGTGAAGTCAATAATATTGTAGTCAAAGTGAAAATGTTTTGAATAAAAGTAAAAATTTTGTGAATGAATGTGAAAATTTTTTGAATGAAAGTGAAAGTAAGAATTTTTTAAGGAAATTAAAATTTATTTGAGTGAAATAAAAATTTTTCTAGTGAAGATCAAATATTTTTTTAGTAAAGGTTAAAAATGTTTTTAATGAATGTGAAAATTTGTTGAGTGAAAGTGGAAAGAGAATAGAAACTAAAAAGAAAAGTGAAAATTAATTAAAGTGTTAGTGAAAGTCAAAGTCAATCCCACTGCTGTCACCATTTTTGAAAATGGTGGAAATTTCACAAAATACGAACAGTTCTTTTTATAAATATAAAAATTTCTGTTAATAAAAATTCCTTTCATAAAAAATGATTTTTATAGAAATTTTCTATTTAAACTTCTTCTATTTAATCTAATAAAAAAGAAGAGCAAAAACCGACTTTCGGAAATTGAAAATATTTTCTATTTTATGTTAATTCGAATATATTAAAGCGGCAATACCAGTATTTTTGCATTTTCTCAAAATGATTTAATATATAATATTTGTACAATGCAATAATTCAAAGTAATGTTGGAAATTTATTTAATTATTATTATATGTTTCAATTTGAAATAGTTTTTTATTATATAACGCCCTAACTGTGTTAATTACTTTTCTCATCAATCATTTTTGCCTCTGTTCTTGAACCTTGCATGCTCCCTCTATATAACCATTTACGTAATAGAATCTGTAACTCAATTTCTCAATTTATTAAACTCCTGGAACTAAGAAGAGAGGGACTTTTGTTTTATTCTTTATCCTAAATCTATTACATTATGCATGAATGGACGAAATATATACAATAAAGAAAAAAACATGTCCACATTATATAATTAAATTTTTAGAGAATATTATTTATTTTAGTTTTTTCCACAGTTCGCTGCGGGAAAAACTAAAATAAATAATATTCTACTGTTTTAAAATTTTTAATTGTATTTTAATTTTTAAATTTTTCAATATTTTATTCACTGAATTTGAATTAATGGTATTTTTAATCTAAAAATTTATTTAGTATTTTGTAGTAGTAGTAGTAGTAGTAATAGTAATTACCGAATGTGGCAAGAACAGATTAAAATATTTTGAAAATAATTAAAAAATAAAATCCCTAAATTTTATGATGAAAAAAGTAATATTCATTAATAAATTGAGACATTAGAATAAAAGAAAAATGTGCTGGTATTTTCGATTTGTTAAAAAAAGGAAAAAGATTCATGACTAGCATAATTTATTCATTCATTTATTTCTTTGAAAATCCAATCCATTTGTTGAATTCGGTGTGGTTTGGCAGACAACTCATGGTTAACATTAGGGACAAGTAGGGTATGCTTTTAGAATGAAAACGCAAACGTTTCTTCGCTAAGAGGATTGTAGAATGAGAAAAGTAACCCTTTATTTGGCAACGATTCCTTTCAAGTAATATCAAATCCTATTCAATGTATTTATGTCTATATAATCATGTTGTTAACGCTCTACTTATCATTCTAAATAGGCCTCCCGGTTGTATCGATGAAAACATGCTTCCCTGAGCATCAGTCAATATTTCATTATCATCGAACATTTTTAACCCAAAATTTATCAACGAATTATCTTTTTGTCATTTTATCGATTTTCAGAATAGTTTACAATTATCAAATTCTAATATCTTTAAATCTATTCATAATTATTCCTCTGAATATTTCAATTAAAAGAAATTATTAAATTAAAATTTTGAATTTGAATTTTTTTCCTTTTTTAAAATGATAATGATATTAAAATTCAATAACCAACGTGATTGGTTTCTCTTATATGCATTCTTTCAATTGTTAGTAATTTATTTGACTAAAAATGTTAAAAATAAAATTTGACTCTGAAAATGTAAAAAATAAAATTTAAATAAAAATGTAATAAAAAAAATTCCATTTAATAAAATTATGAAAAGTATTTTATAATCATAAAAAAAGAAATAAATTCTTAATTACATCCTCAAATATTTACATTAAGAAACTTCAGAATGCAAGACGGAAAACATTTCAGCACCTTTAAGTTTATTTCAAGAGAGGTATAATTCACTTTTCTTCAGAATAAGGAAAAGCCATTTCAGATTCTTAATTTTCGCCATTAGACTACTTTGAGGGCAAATGGGAGGAAAACTTGATGTTTTTTTTTCTACTGAAAGAAGTAAAAAAAAGTTTATAATTCAATTATTACATGAAAAGGTCATATTATAGATTATGATAATTGACAAATAATGAGGATAATGTAAATTTTCAACTTTACTTTTTGAATCACACTTTTTTGAACTCTACTTTTGAATCATACTTTTTTGAACTCTACTTTTGAATTATACTTTTTTTAAACTCTACTTTTGAATCATGAAATTTCTTCTTTATATTAAAAAGTTATAATAAAAAGACTTTATAATTATATAATTTCATATTAGAGTTTCTGTATTCCTTTTGAAATGATGATAAAGGCTTGTTCGATGTTTATTTATTTTTTTTGTTGAAATGACCTACATTTAGAATGATGTCGCGCCCTCCAGATATATCATGACAAATACGCGTGTGTTTATATACATACATACACACTTTTATATATATATATAATATGTTGACTCAATATTTTTATTTTCTCCTGGAGAAAAGTAATTTGTCAATGTCTTCTCTTGAAATTAATAAAAATCTCCTATTATAAATCTTCATCATTTCCCTCCTAATTGCCTAATTTCTAATTTTTCTTAACCATCAAAAAAACTCCCATTAACTGAAATTTTCATTATCTTTTTTATTCTTTACTTTTTTCTGTCTGTAATTAATTTCACTATTTTTATTAAATTTGCAAAAATTGTAACTGCTATGTATCTAGCTTGAGTTTTATTTCTCAACTTACGCGACATTTATAAATATTTTGACATTTTTGTCTGACTTGAGCATTTTTTTACTACTGAGGAAACTATTTTTAATTTTTCACATATTCCTACTTCTGTCTGACTAAAATTTGTTTTACTACTTATTATTAGGATTAAATTCGATTAAAGCGTCACTGTCTGACTAAAATTGGCTTTTACTACTTATTATTAGAATTAAATCCGATTAAAGCGTCACTGTCTGACTAAAATTGGCTTTTACTACTTATTATTAGAATTAAATCCGATTAAAGCGTCACTGTCTGACTAAAATTGGTTTTTACTACTTAAATTAAAATTAAATTGATTAACGTTTCTCTGGCTGATTGAAACTTGTTTTTACTACTTACATTATAATACTAAATTGATTCAAGAAGCTCTGTCTGACTTAAAATCACTTTTACTACTGAAAACAAATACTGATTAGTTAAAATATTTTTACTACAAATAAAGAGATTTTTTAGAAAATAAAATTTCTGATAGGTTGAAACTTAATTTTACTACTTACAATTAAAATTATTTTAATTTAAAGCGTCTATGTCTAACTGAAGAATGTTTTTAGTACTTTTATATTAAAAATAAAAATTTATGAATGTTGCTCTGTCTGACTATACCTTGTTTTTACTACTTATAAATTAAAACTAATAAATTGATTAAATCGAAACGGTCTGACTGAAAATTACTTTTACTACTTAAGACGAAAACTGTTGACTTAAAATATTTTAAGTACTAAGGAAGAGAAGAAATTTTTTAGATAAAATCTGAACTTAAAATCTGACTTAAAATTACTTTTACTACTTAAGACGGAAAATGTTGACATAAAATATTTTAACTACAAAGGAAGAGAAGAAATTTTACATAATATAACATTTCTGTCTTTCTGAAACTTGATTTTACTACTTACTTAATTAGAATTAAATTCAAATAAACCGTCTCTGTCAGACTGAAACTTATTTACTACTTATATTATAAAAATAAGTTGATTCAAGAAGCTCTGTCTGACTAAAAATTGATTTCACTACTTAATATAAAAGCCGATGATTTAAAATATTTTTACTACTAAGAGGGTTATTTTTTAGATAATAACTTTTCTGTCTGGCTGCAGCTTGATTTTACTACTTACTATTAGAATTAAATTCAAATAAACCATCTCTGTCTGACTAAAATTAGTTTTTACTACTAAGATGAAAATTTAATTGATTTATAAGTTTTCGAATCAATTTGTTTTTGTCTAACTTAAAATTTACTTTTAACAACTTTTTTCAAAAAATACAAATTCTGATTCACACTGCTTTTATTATAAAAATTATGATTTTAATTTGTCAGTTATGTGAAAAAAAATATCTTTAAAAGAATTTATTTTTACTAGAAAGACAAAATTTTTGTTAAATAATTTTTGTCCGACTACTGTTTGATTCTACTACTTATTTTAAAAATACAATTATTGAAACTTTTTGTCATTATTGCTAAAGCGAAAATTTTCTTTTAGGAAAAAATGCTTTTATTTACAGTTAATAGGAAAAAAAATTTTATTCCCTTTTTTCATATTAAAATCAATAAAAATTTGAACTCTTAATCATTTATAGATTTAGGGAGATGTTGTCTGACTTAAAATGATTTTCACCACTTTTATTAAAAGATTAGGGAAAGATTAAGTAAAAGATTGATTAATAACACTACTTTTATTATTCTTCCAAAAATGAAAAACAGTATGTCTGACATAAACATTGTTGTACTACTAAAAAATTTTTTTTTAAATATTCCAACGATTATGTCTGATTTATTTATTTTATTTTTTATAATTTTCATTTATTTTCACTGCTTTTATTGAATTTTGTGAAAATTTTGAATTTTACGTCTAAGTAGAACATTTCTCTACGACTTACACTATGTTTACGCAAATCTTATAAGTTTCGTCTGACCTCAAGTAGCTTTACTACATTTTCATTAAAATAATACTTTTAAAACTGTTCTGTCTGAGTTAAAATTACTTTTACTACTTTTGTTTAGGTTATAAAAAATTATTTGTTATGCCAGACTAAAACATGTTTGTACTGCTTACACTACATATATTTATAAATTTTTGAAATAAATTGTTACTGTCAGACTTAAAATCTACTTACACCACTTTGGGGCAATTGAAATATTACGTAAGACTTTGATGCTATAATAAATACTATTACTGATTGTCTGACATAACATAGATTTTACTACTTACTATTAGAATTAAATTTCAATAAACCATCTATGTCTGACTAAATTTGGTTTTTACTACTTAGATTAAAATTTAATTGCTCTGTCTGACTGAAGTTTATTTTAACTACTTATATTTTAATACTAAATCGATTCAAGAAACTATGTCTGACTTAAAATTACTTTTACTACTTAAGACGAAGACGGATGAGTTAAAGCGTCTATGTTTGACTAAAATTGGTTTTTACTACTTACATTTAAATTCATCCTATTTAAGTGTCTCTGTGTGACTGAAACTTGTTTTACTACTTATATTATAAAAATATGTTGATTCAAGAAGCTCTGCTTAATTAAAAATTGCTTTTACTACTTAATATAAAAAAAAACTTTAAAAAAACGTAAGAATTTAATAAATATTTTAATTTGGAATTTTTCAGATAATCGGCGTCGTATCTGTGTTCTTTATCTGCGTGTCGATTCTCTCCTTCTGCCTGAAGACCCATCCGGACATGAGGGTACCGATAATTGTCAATAGATCGGCAAAAGTTGGCAACGAAACAAAATGGGTATTGGACAAAACCCATACAAACGCCCACGATGTCTTCTTTTACATTGAATGCATATGCAATGCATGGTTCACACTTGAATTTCTCATAAGAATAACAGCAAGTCCAAATCGTTGTGATTTCATCAAGAGTTCAGTGAATTTAATCGATATGATTGCGACATTGAGTTTTTACATTGACTTGGCATTACAAAAATTCGCCTCACATTTGGAGAATGCCGATATATTGGAATTCTTCAGTATCATTAGGATAATGAGACTATTTAAATTAACGAGGCATTCGTCGGGTTTGAAAATTCTCATACAAACATTCCGTGCCTCCGCTAAGGAATTAACCCTCCTGGTGTTCTTCCTGGTGCTCGGCATCGTCATCTTCGCGAGTCTGGTTTATTATGCTGAGCGTATTCAATATAATCCAAAAAATGATTTTAAGAGTATACCGCTTGGCCTTTGGTGGGCTCTGGTCACAATGACCACCGTCGGCTATGGGGACATGGTGCCAAAAACTTATGTTGGAATGTTTGTGGGCGCCCTCTGTGCCCTGGCCGGCGTACTCACAATCGCCCTGCCAGTGCCCGTGATCGTCAGCAATTTTGCGATGTATTACAGTCACACGCAGGCGCGAGCTAAGCTCCCGAAGAAGAGACGTCGAGTTCTACCAGTAGAGCAACCCCGGGTCCGAGCGCCCGGGGCTCCCGGGGGAGGCGGTCCTGGAGGTGGTCCCATTGGTAGTGGACCACAAGCCGCCCTCCTACCCCCAGGAGCTGGAGGTTGCGGTGGTACAACGGGCGCACAAAATCGTCGGACTAACGCTATTAAGACCAATCATCCTAAGGATCCATTCGCCAGTAAAACAGGTAATTATTTTACTCTTCTTTTCAAAAATTTACATTTCTTTTATCTAAAACTACTCCCTGTCTGACTAACACTTGTTTTTACTACTTATATAACAATTAAATTGCTAAAAGTTCCTCTGTCTGCCTTAAAATTAAGTTAATTAACTTAAAACTACTACCTGTCTGACTAAAAATTGTTTTTACTACTTATATAACAATTAAATTGATAAAAGTTCCTCTGTCTGCCTTGAAATTATGTTAACTCACTTCAAACTACTAAAGTCTGACTAAAACCTTGTTTTACTACTTAAGTCATATATTTATGATCATTTGTCTGACTTGAAAACATTTATACTACTTTTATGAAATTTAGTAGAATTTTAACTATTATGTCTGACTAAAATTTTGTTTTACTACTTAAGTCACATATTTATGATAATTATAACAAATATGTCTGACTTGAAATCATTTATACTACTTTCATAAAATTTCCTCTTTGAAAATTTACTCTTAACTTAAAAAAATTACCTTTTTATCTAGAACTACTACATGTCTGACTAAAACTTGTTTTTACTACTTTTATAACAATTAAATGGATAAAAGTTGCTATGTCTGACTTAAAATTATTTTAACTGCTATAAAACTACGTATGTCTGACTAAAACATTGTTTTACTACTTAAGTCATAATTTATTATCATTATAACAGATTTGTTTGACTTAAAATCATTTATACTACTTTCATGAAATTTTTTCTTTCAAAATTTACTCTTATCTTAAAAACTTTATCTTTTTACATGTAACTACAACATATCTGACTAAAAAAATTTTTTACTACTTATATAACAATTAAATTGTTAAAAGTTGCTCTGTCTGCCTTAAAATTATTTTAACTATCTTAAAACTACTAATGTCTGACTAAAACTTTGTTTTACTACTACATGTCTGACTGAAACTTGGTTTTACTACTTATAATAGCAATTAAATTGATAAAAGTTGATCTGCCTGGCTTAATATTATTTTAATTAACTAAAAACTACTTATGTCTGACTAAAACTTTGTTTTACTACTTAAGTCATATATTTATAATCATTACAACAGATATGTCTGCATTGAAATTACTTATACCACTTTTATAAAATTTAGTAGAATTGTAACTATTATGTCTGACTAAAATTGTAATTCGACTACTTAGAATTTAACTATTGTAATTTACGTATTCTTTCATTCATTCTGTGCGCAATTTTAAGTTACTTTCTGTGTATACTTTTGTTTTTTCTTCTTCAAAAAATATTCTTTGACAAATCGAAAATATGCAGGTATTTTTTCAATATTTATAATAATAATAATATAATATTACAAATTAGAAAATTAAAAAAAAATTAAAATTAACAAATAAAAAATATACTCATTTTGCTTTTTATGTGCTGTTTTCAATAAAAAATTCCGTTTCACTGATCTAAATTATTATGCAAAATATATTCTCCTTTTTATTTATATAAAAAATAAAATACTAGAAAATTGTTAATTGTTAAAAAAATTTGATGAAAAAGTAGAAAATATACCCATTTTATGCATAATTTTTATTTCTCAATAACAATATTGTTTACAAACTATTTTTTTTTCTTTTGGAAAGAAAAACATTAGATATTTCCGTTTCATAATATTTTTGTAGAGAATTCACAATTTTCATAAGGTAATAGTTTGCATCAATTCTGTTTTTTAATTTCAATTGTTTTAATAAAATTCATAGTTTTTTAAAAATAAAGGAAAAAAAATGTTTATAAATTATAATTGTCAATTAGAAAATTTCTTTGAAAATGGAACTAAAAATTTTTGAATTTTTAGAAAATAAAGGAAAAAATTTTATTGAAAAAAATGTTCTGTTATATTTATTTAAGAATTTATTTAATTGTAAAATTATTCGAAAACAATAATTTATTTTTTAAATATTTTAAATATTTACCTAATTATTATTATTTTTCAATAGAAATTAAAATTCTTCCAAACTGTAACTTTTAAACATTATTTTCATAATCTATTATTATCTCAAATTTAAACTAAAATTCATTTTTAAATCAATTTTTATTAGAAAATTCTACGAGAATTCAATTATTTAAATGTACAAAAGGAAATTATTTATTGAATAATTGAATGTATCTTAAATTTTAATTCTTATAAAGAATTTTAACATAAAATTTTTAAATAATCGAATTCTTTTGACGAAATTTAATCAAATTTTTAAAAATAATTACATTTTTCAAGGAATTTGATTAAAATTGTTTTAAAAATAATTGAAATTCTGCGATGAGTTTTATTAATTCTGAATATAACTAAATTATTAAGAAGAAACTTTAAAATTTGTAAATATTTGAATTCTTGAGAAATTTTTATTATTTATGAAAATAATGAATGTTTTCGTGTACAAATAAAAAATGTTTTCAAATAATTGAATTCTTTTAGGTAATTTGCTAAAAATAGTAGATATTAAAAATCACTGAAATGAGGAAAATTTTTGAAAATTATTAGAATTTTGACATGAATTTCATTAAAATTTTAAAAAATACATAATTGGATTTTGAAGAAGAATTTTTTTATTGATAAAGATAATAATTGTGATTTTTTTGTATAGAAAATTCAAATTTTCAAATATTTTTATTTGAGACCTTTTTAAAATTATTCAATTATTTAATACAAAAGTAAATAATTTAATAAATGTTTTTTTAAATTTAATTCTTATATAAAGAATTTTAACATAAAATGTTTAAATAATCGAATTCTTTTGACGAAATTTAATCAAATTTTTAAGAATAATTACATTTTTCGAGAAATTCGATTAAAATTGTACTAAAAAAAATAATTAAAATTCTACGACGAGCTCTATTATCTACGAAAATAATTAAATTCCTAAAACAAATTTATTATTTATAAAAATAACTGAATTCATAAATTAATATTGAATATTTAAGAAATTGCAAAAGTATCTAGAACTTATATGCTTATATTTATAAAAATCATAACAGTTTTGTGCGACTTGAAATTTTTATACCTCTGAAAAAACTTTTTTTTGAAATAACATTTCAACAAAACTTTAACTAAATTTTATTAATTATTATTAAAATTAACTTGATTCAAGTTAAGGTCTGACTAAAGCTTGTTTTTACTACTTATATTAAAATAAAGTTGATAAAAGCTGCTCTGTCTGACTAAAATTTGTTATTACTACTAGTATTATAAATTAAATTGCATAAAGCAGCTATGTCTGACTGAAAATTACTTTTACTACTTAACTCAAAGATGAACTTAAAATATTTTTTACTTACTAAGAAAGAGAATAAATTTTTTCAGACAATAACTTTTCTGTCCGACTGAAGCTTGATTTTACTACTGACTATTATAATTAAATTGATTAAATCGTCTATGTCTGACTAAAGAATGTTTTTACTACTTAGATGAAAATTTAATTGATGAATGCTGCAGTATCTGACTGCAGCTTGTTTTTACTACTTCTATAAAAATACAAATGGTTAAAGCAGCTCTGCCTGATTGAAGTGTGTTTTTACTATTTTAATTACAATTAAATTGATTAAAGGAAGACTGTATAACAGAAAAATTACTTTTTCTACTCATATCAGAATTCAATTGATTTAAACAACTATGTCTGACTGAAGGTTGTTTTTACTACTTATACATTAAAATTTATTTCGGTTTATCTCGATCCAAAGTGTTCAAAAAAATTCCTAAATGCAAAATTTTGATATTTACAAAGTTGGCACTTGTCCTCAGCAGTAAATTGTCTTTTGACTCAAAGAGATTAACTTTATTGGAAAAATTACAAAAATTTCTGACGATAACAACGTTTCTCGTTTCTCGACTACATCGAGAGTCGTACTTTGTCTTTCGAACCTAAAGTGATCATTTGTCTTGCAGTTAATCCTAAAAAATAAAAAATTTCAACTTACGTCGACAAAAAATGAATTATTCAATAAAAATTCTTTCTAAAAAAAATAAGACATTAATTTTTCTTGAATAATTAAATTTCCCTCGCAAAATAGAAAATTCTTTGTTTACTATTTTTTTACGATCTGTTTGAAACTTCCGCTATTGTCATCTAGTTGAAAATATATTCAATAAACTTTAGAATAAAATTCAATACCAAAAGATTTTATTACATTTTCTGTACAAACATTAAAACACGAAATGCAGTTCGAGACTAAAACATTCTTTTTTTAAATCTCTCTCCAAGAGTCATAGCTCGTGAATATAATACTAAATTTTTTGAAAACTAATGCACAATCTTTCAATATATAAAGTAAAAAAAAAGAAAATACTTCCTATTGATCGATTTTGTAGACATTTATAAAGCAAGACCTACATAAAATTTTTTTTTTTTTTTGGCAAATGTCCCTATTGAAATCGTAAACTACGACTGAATGTAAAATTTGAAGCTAAAAATAAAGTCTTTTATATGTCATCCAAATAAAAAATTGTTTCCATCTATCTTTCACTGAAATTAATATATAGAAAAATCATCTTTTTTTTCGTACACAATCTCAAATGCCAATAATATTGAAAATTGATACAAAAAAAAATCCTTTTTTCCACTCCTGTTTATTATTTCACTGAAAAAAATTGAAAAGAAAATAAAAATAATGGAAAATATTAATTTGAAATTGAAGAAAATTCACAATTGTTATTATACCTTGTTCTTACGTATAGAATTTTTAGAATTTTTTTTTCCAATTTTACTAAGTAAAAATTCTACTACTATCTCATTTAAGTGAGAATATAAATCCAAATTGTGTCAAGCGTACTGAGTTCTAAAAATGTTGGAAAATTTCCTTCACAAATTTTGTTGAAAAATAAAAGATTCATCACTCTAGTCTCTTGGATATAAATTTCTATGAGGATGCATTTCAAAAAAAAAGTACTATAGAATACACCCTAGAGAGGAATATTTTTTTCCCTTTTCAATTTTTTTTTTTTTTTTTGCTTTTTGAGAATAGAGAGAGATAATGATTTC